TTCATTTTGCAAGGGATAACAAAACAACAGAGTAATATTTAAATGGAACAAAACTGCAGAAAGCTGCAACACAAAGGGACTTGGGGGTTCTTGTGCATGAAACACAGAAAGCTAGCATACAGGGGTTGCAGGTAGTCAGGAAGGCTAATAGAATGTTGGCCCTTATTTCAAGGGGGTTGGAATGTAATAGTAAGGAAGTCTTACTGCAACTGTACAAGGTGCTGGTGAGATCACAGCTGGAGTACTGTGAGCAGTTTTGGTCCCCTTAGTTAAGTAAAGGCATTATTTCATTGGAGGTAGTTCAGAGAAGGATCACTAGGATGATCACTGGTATAGAAGTATTGACTTATGAGCAAAGGCTAAACAGGGTGGAACTATACTCAGAGACAACAAGGTGCAGGGCTGGATGAACACAGCAGGCCAAGCAGCATCATAGGAGCAGAGAGGCTGACGTTTCGGGCCTAGACCCTTCATCAGAAAAGGGGGAGGGGAAGGGGGTTCTGAAATAAATAGGGAGAGAGTGGGAGGCGGATAGAAGAGGGATAGAGGAGAGAATAGGTGGAGAGGAAACAAACAGGTCGAAGAGGCGGGGATGGAGCCAGTAAAGGTGAGTGTAGGTAGGGAGTTAGGAAGGGGATAGGTCAGTCCAGGGAGGACGGACAGGTCAAGGGGGCGGGATGAGGTTGGTCGGTAGGAGATGGAGGTGCGGCTTGAGGTGGGAGGAGGGGATAGGTGGGAGGAAGAACAGGTTAGGGAGGCAGGGACGAGCTGGACTGGTTTTGGGATGCGGTAGGGGGAGGGGAGATTTTGAAACTTGTGAAATCCACATTGATACCATTGGGCTGCAGGGTTCCCAAGCGGAATATAAGTTGCTGTTCCTGCAACCTGTTTGTTTCCTCTCCACCTATCCTCTCCTCTATCCCTCTTCTATCCGCCTCCCATTCTCTCCCTATTTATTTCAAAACCCACTTCCCCTCTCCCTTTTCTGATGAAGGGTCTAGGCCCGAAACGTCAGCCTCTCTGCTCCTATGATGCTGCTTGGCCTGCTGTGTTCATCCAGCCCTGCACCTTGTTGTCTCGGATTCTCCAGCATCTGCAGTTCCTACTATCTCTGGGACTATACTCACTGGAGTTTAGAAGAATAAGAGGTGATCTCACTGAAACAGATAGGATTCTTAAGGGGCTTGACAGGGTAAATGCTGAGAGGGTGTTTCCCCTCATGGGACAATCTAGGACCAGAGAGTATAGTCTCAGAATAAAGGGGCATGAGTTTAAGACTGAGATGAGGAGAAATTTCTTCTATCGGAGAGCTGTGAGTCTTTGGAACTCATTGCCACAGATAGCTGTGGGACAGAATCCTTGTGATTTAAGGCTGAGATGAATAGATTCATAGTCAGTTGGGGAATCAAGGATTATAGGGATAGGGCAAGAAAGTAGTTGTGAGGAATAATGGATCAGTCATGATCCTATGAAATGGCAGAACAGGCTTGAGGAGCTGAATAGCCTACTCCTGTTCCTATTTCTTATGATCTTATGGTTTTATGGAGAAAATATTGAAAGAAGGATGTTACAATCCCAGACCAGATCGCTAAATGTTTGTTACGATCTGGCTACTGGACCAATACTTTTATTTTTAAAGTAGACAAAGTGTGAGATCCAGGGGACTTAATATGAGAATACAACTGTGAGATTTCATGATTTGAATAAACAACAATAATCTTCATTATACAATTTTAGAGCAGTAATAACATTTACAATGTGTGTAACTTACTTCAAACATCTAGAATTCACATTTGGGAAATAGGTGGCTCAAATACTATACAGCACACATCGTACAGCAAATGTGATCAAGGTAGATCCCACAGATTTTTCAGCAACACTCCTCTCCACCCCCAGACATTAATGACATGGTGGGTCATCAACTGTAATTAAACTTCCCAAGGGATCACAATTCATTGCTTTTGCCAATCCATCATTGACCACGTCATGACTGTTCTGGTTGATCACCCTTCTTTCTTCGGTCTAAACTCCACTGCATTCCAAAACTGCACCCCAACATCACTCCTAACTCTAGCTCCTCACCTACAGCCAGCTTCACCGAGTCTGGAACAAAAACAAAATTGCTGGAAAAGCTCAACAGGTCTGGCAGCATCTGTGAAGGAAAAAACAGGTTAACGTTTTGGGTTCGGTGACCCTTCCTCAGAACTGATGGTGGCTGGGAAAATGTCAGTTTATATGCAGAAAATAGGGAGGTGGGTGGTGTGGGGAGTAAACGATAGGATAGAGCCTAAAGAGAGAGAAGAGCAGTTGGACAGACAAAGAGTTGATAACAATTAGGTTGGGAGGGTGAATTGTTGTTAATGGGGACTATTAGTGACTAATAACAGATAGTGTATGATGGCAGGCTATATATGGTATCAAGGTCTGGTGTATGGGATAGGGGGCTAGGACATGGGAGAGTTTAGGCCCTAAAATTATTGACGTCAATATTGAGTCCAGAGGGCTGCAGGGTCCCCAGGCAGAAAATGAGGTGTTGTTCTTCCAGCTTGAGTTGGGCTTCGCTGGAACACTGCAGCAAGCCAGAGACAGAGATGTTGGCCAGGGAGCAGGGTGGTGCATTAAAGTGGCAGGCAATAGGTAGTTCAGGGTCTTTTTTATGAGCAGAATGTAGATGTTCTGCGAAGTGGTCACCCAGTCTACATTTCGGTTTCCCCAGTGTAGGGGAGACCACATTGTGAGCAGTGAATGCAGTAGATTCTGGGAAGTGCAGGTGAAGTGTTGCTTCACCTGTAAGGTATGTTTGGGCCCTTGGATACTGGGGAGGGAGGAGGTAAATGGGAAGGTGTTACACCTTCGCTGGTTACAGGGGAAGGTGCCATAGGGCTGTGGGGGGATGTTGGGGGTGAAGGAAGTGTGGACCAGGGTGTCCCGGAGGGAACGGTCCCTGCGGAAGGCGGACGAGGGAGGAGAGGGGAATATATGTCTGGTGGTTGCATCTTGCCAGAGGTGGCGGAAATTGCGTTTGATGATCTTCTGGATGTGGATACTGATGGGATGGTAGGTGAGGATAAGGGGAACCCTATTGCTGTTGCGGGAGGGAAGAGAAGGGGTGAGGGAGGAAGTGCAGGAGATGGGTCGGACCTGGATGAGTGCCCTGTTGACAACGGAGCTGGGGAATCCTCGGTTGAGGAATAAGGTGGACATTTCGGAGGCTCCCTTGTCGAACTTGGCCTCATCTGAACACATATGATGGAGACGGAGGAACTGAGAGAATTCACCGAGTCTGTCCTGCCTCAGGTTGCTTTCCCCACCTCGAATCTTTCTGAGTTGCAACAAGCAAATACAGTTGTGAGCTTTTCAAAACCCACTTTCTCAGCACCTCAGAACTTCTTTTGAATCCTGATTCTAAAATATAGAAATTCCCAGAACCACCTATTGCCCCGACTCCTCACTGAGACCCCTACACTGAATCTGTGTAGCTCCACTCTTTTCCCAGCAGTACTAACGGCAGCATTCCTAACATAGAGTCTGCTTCTGCCCTTGTCTGTCCCATGTCTTTTCCAATTAACTGTCCTTCAACTTCCTCTGCAATACCTCCCAAACTGTCCATAAGATCATAAGACCATAAGGCTATGAGCAGAAATAGGCCATTCAGTCCATCGAGTCTGCTCTGCTATTCCATGAGATCATGGCTGATCTGATAATACTCAACTCCATTTCCCTGCCTTTCCCTTGATTCCTTTACTGATTAAAAATATGTCCAGCTCAACATATCCTCAATGACCCAGCCTTGATGGCCTTCAGCGGTAAAGCATTTCACAGATACACTATCCTCTCAGAGAAAATAATCGACCCCATCTCTTTCTTAATGTGCAATCCCTTATTCTGAGATTATGCACTCTGGTCCAAGACTCTCCTACAAGGTACAACCCACTCAAGGTCCCCTCGTAAGACCCTCATTACCCAGTATCAGCCTACTGAACCTTCTCTGGACTGCTTCCAATGCCAGTGTATGTTTCCTTAGATAAGGGGTCCAAAACTGTTCACAGTATTCCAGCTGTGGATTAATTAGCGCCTTGCACAGTTTTAGCAAAACCTCCCAACATTTATATTTCATTGCTTTCGAGATAAAGGCCAGCAATCCATTTACCTTGAGGCCAAATGTAAACTGGAGGAACAACACCTGATATTTCACCTTCAGACCTTATAGCCCAAAGGCCTGAATATTGACTTCACCAGCTTCAAAATCCCTCCACGTCCCGGTTCTGTTCTGTATGGGTTTGTATGTGGGGTCTAATTCCACATGTTTGTTGAGTGCACACAAACCCACAGCCACACTACAACAAACACAAGGAACAAAGACCCTAGACCCATGACATGCAGGACAAACATAGTTTACAAAATACATTGCAATGACTGCAACAAACATTACATCAGCCAGACCGGAAGGAAACTAGCCATCAGGACACACGAACACCAGCTAGCAGCAAAATGACATGACGGACTTTCCCTCATCTCAGTGCACTTGGACAATGAAGGCCTTCAATTTAACTGGCACAACGTGACCATCCTAGCTCAAGCCAACCACAGACAGGCACAGGAATTCCTAGAGGCCTGGTTTTCAACCCGTAATGCAATCAACAAACATGTGGAATTAGACCCCATATACAAACAGAACCGGAAATGACACAACCCAACTTAACAGACCAGATCATATAAATACCAAGTGGAGTAGAACGACATTGCTTCATCGGACTCTGCACTGATGATGTTACCGAGGATGGTGATGAAACGTCTGTACGATAACCAGCCAGCTCAGCGAGCAAGCCAACAACCTCATCCACAACCCGAGCTACAAATCCTTGCAAGAACATTAAATCATGACTTTTTTCCTATGGCCACAGAGTAAGTCCCAGCAAACAATCATTTCTGTAGCACAAAGCAGAGTGGGTGACATTAGCCTCTGATCCTGCGTCTTTTGGGGATGAAATGGTACCTACCAAATTGATCAGCTGTTCCAGTCGTTCACAGGTCAGTGGCAGAATCCAGATCAAGGCATTCACACACTGAGAGCAGGCACTGAGATCTGAAACCAGCACAAATATATACTCATACATTACCTCACTTAATTCAGTGTTTCAGCACACCATGCCTGCTGCTTCAGCACACTAGCTGCACAGGCAGTGCCCTGCTTTGACATCTCACCTGGCTGATGGCACCTCCAGCAATGCAGCACTCCCTTGGCAATGCATACATCCATCAGCTGGGTCACCTGTTCATGTCTGAGGCCAGGGGCCTTGAACTGACAACTAATGGGCAAATGAATGAACTGACAGCCCGGGTGATGAGCACTCGGCCACAGAATCTCTGTGCTGAAAATTCATCTTCTTTAATTAAAATTAAAATTCTTTCTCTAGTTCCTAGTCCCATTATCACCCCCTTTTCTATTGCATTATCACTTCTTTTGTCTATAAATGGTCTCCTACCTTTCCCCCTATCATGGACACTCCCTTTAATTCTTTCCTGCTCCTCCTCTCCCCCTATTTTGCCTGGGTCTGTACTTGGCTACACTCTGTTCATCTCTAACATCTCGCAATACTGAGAAAGGTTTTCAGCCTGAAACTTTACTTCATCCAGATTTCTAATGTGTCGAGAATGGGACACAGTGGTAATGTTACTGGGCTGATAATCAGGAGATTGGTTAGGCTCCACGGACACAAGCTCAAAGCCAAAAGTAGGAAAGTAAATGGCAAATAAAATCTCCAATTGAAAGCTGGGCATCAGTAATGAACTCATCTGATTCATTAATGACTCTTAGGGAAGGAAATTTGCTGCCCTTACCTGGTCCACCCCACTTGTGACTCCTGACCCAGAGCCATGTAATTGACTCTGAAATGGTCTCTGAAATGAGCCTCAAGAAGTCTCTGAGTTCAAGGGCAAATACAGTAAAAGTGGTCTTGCCAAGGACATCCATGTCCCATCAAGAAATGAGGGGGAAGAAAAGCTGCTCGGTGCTTTGCAAGTCTTGTCAGAGCCCCTTATAATCAAGTTGGTTCTTTTGAGCACAGAAACTCTAATATTTTAATTTATAACACTAATACATTAATATATATTTAAATGCTTTTAAATTTTCTTCTTGAATTGATCACTGTACCTTCATGTAGCTACCAAAAGATACCTGGAGTAAGAGGTTGTCTTGTGAGCAGTATTGAATGGACTAGGCCGATATTAGTCAGAACTTGGAAGAAAAGGTGATCTCACAGGAATATAATATTTTCAAAGGGTTTAGCAAGATAGGGTGTGATGGAGGGTTAAGTGAGGGTGTTGAGGTATGATACATTATTGTAGAATCCTTACACTATGGGAGCAGGCCATTCAGCTCATCAAGCCCACACCATACCTCCAGAGGACATTCCCCAGACCAACCCCCCAAATTCCTATGGCCCTGCATTTCCCATGGCTACCACTTAGCCTACACATCTTTGGACTGTGGGAGTAAACTGTAGCACACAGAGGAAACCCACACAGACACGGGGAGAATACGCAAACTCCACACAGACAGTCGCCCAACAGTGGAATTGAACCTACGTCACTGGTGTTGTAAGGCAGCAGTGCTAACCACTGAGCCACTGTGCTGCCATTAGGGGTATTGCAAGGATATTTTGTGTGATGGGTTATAGAATGAAGTTACTTGTAAACGAAAGAGGGCAGAGCGAGGGTATTGGGGTGTACTGGAATGTACAGTGTGGGTATTGGTGGAGCTCCAAGGTTATTTTGGGTTGACAGATTAGCTATAGGTAAAACATACACAAACAGAATCGGCTGAGGGTTTAGTACAAAATTCTGATACTGACCAATCAGAGCTGCAATGGCTTGTTGTGCGATACCAAGCAGCCTATCTGGATTCCAGTGCGGGAAAATTACAGCCACAGGGTGAGCGTGGGAAACGGGAAGTGTAGCATGATTCAAAACATCGCTCATTGCTGCTTGTTCACATGCCAATAAAAAGCTCCTGTCTCCCATTTTGGAAGGTTCTGGTGCCAGGGACTGAAAGCGAAATCCCAGTAAATTTAACATGGAAGATACTCCTGGGATTCCAATGATATTTGCAGTCAACTTCACTGTAACATTGTCTGTGGGAAAATGGAAAGATGATCAGAATGAGAAGATGCCAGTTGATTCAACCATTACTGCTTTTGCTACTCACACACTGCCATTCAGACACGGCAACTCTCCCTACAGCAACATGCACACTGCCACTACCCTCCCCATTGCCACTCCTCCACTGCTTCTCCCACACTGCCACTCTCCTATTATAACATACACTGCCACTCTCCACCACTACCACTCTCCTGCTGTAACGCACACTGCCACTCTCCCCTACTGCTACACTCCTACTGTAACTCACACACTGCCACTCTCCCCCACTGCCACACTCCTACTGTAACTCACACTGCCACTCTCCCCTACTGCTACACTCCTACTGTAACTCACACACTGCCACTCTCCTATTATAACACACACTGCCACTCTCCACCACTACCTCTCCTGCTGTAACTCACACTGCCACTCTCCCCTACTGCTACACTCCTACTGTAACTCACACACTGCCACTCTCCCCCACTGCCACACTCCTACTGTAACTCACACTGCCACTCTCCCCTACTGCTACAATCCTACTGTAACTCACACACTGCCACTCTCCCCCACTACCACACTCCTACTGTAACTCACACTGACACTCTCCCCTACTGCCACACTCCTAGTGTAACTCACACTGCCACTTCCCCCCACTGGTACTGTCCTACTGTAATACACACACTGCCACTCTCCCCTACTGCCACACTCCTACTGTAACTCACACACTGCCACTTTCCCCCACTGCCACTCTCCTACTGTAACTCATGCACTGCCACTCTCCCCCACTACCACACTCCTACTGTAACTCACACTGCCACTCTCCCCCACTGCCACACTCCTACTGTAACTCACACTGCCACTCTCCCCCACTACCACTCTCCTACTGTAACTCACACTGCCACTCTCCACCACTACCACTCTCCTACTGTAACTCACACTGACACTCTCCCCTACTGCCACACTCCTACTGTAACTCACACTGCCACTTCCCCCCATTGGTACTGTCCTACTGTAATACACACACTGCCACTCTCCCCCACTGCCACACTCCTACTGTAACTCACACTGCCACTCTCCCCCACTACCACTCTCCTACTGTAACTCACACACTGCCACTCTCCCCCACTGCCACTCTCCTACTGTAACTCACACACTGCCACTTGCCGCCACTACCACTCTCCTACTGTAACTCACACTGCCACTCTCCCCCACT